TTCTTAACCTACAAGCATATTTCCGGGAAAAAGTACAAGTATTATCTTTATATATTGACACATTTTTTGTGCATGTGCTTGCCACTTGTGCAAATATTGGTGGCGATACCCTTAGAAATCAATGGTTTTAATCCATCTTTATTTAACAATTCTCACTTCTCATTATTACATTTAGTTTCCAAATTCCTGATTTTTTTCTTCCATTTTTGCAGTTCATAACATTCGACCAAATGAATGGACAAAACTATCAGGCAACAATGTTGGAGAACTTCACTACAGGTACTATCCAGTTGAAACAAAACTTGTAGAACTGGAGATAGCGGAATTTTTAGTCGCGTAAGAGACAGAAAGCGAATAAAAATAGTAGAATATTTTCTAATTACTACCGTATTCTTCCAAATTACATTTAAGGCATTAGACATGCTCAAACTTATTTCACTTGTAGTATTTTGTTTTATAAACAAGTCATGCCATTTTTGATACAGTTCAATTCTTGGCTTTCCTTTCCTCTTCAAATCTGGCCACCAACTTTCCTTCATTTGTGAGGTGCTTTGTTTTGTTTTGTTTTTCTGAGGAGTGTATAAAAAAGATTAGCAAATCAAAAATTCAATTCATATAATTATACAAACAATACCTTACTTATATTTTTAAAAAAATGTATTCAAATCACTCCACACTATTAAATACCCAGTTAAACTATACAACACGTGCATTGCACGTGCTCACACTAGTTATAATAATAAGAGTGACTTTTCAAATAAAAATCATTGTGTTTATTAAACATATTGAATAATACATAATATATCGAACACTAAACTTCGTAATTACAAGCTTAGTGTTAAATCAATCTATGGTCACCAAACTTTATATTCAGTGTCACCATAGCCACCCAACTTTATTCTTAGTGTCACCATGACCATGACCATTTAATTTCATTTTATTTCACTATAGTCACACAATTTAATACATCATTTCACTATAACTACCCAATTTCATATAATGTTTCACCATGACCACTCAACTTCTTTTCATCATTTTTAAGAGGGGGAAAACTATGACTTTGCATTATATATGCCCCTGTTTGATCCACATTATTTTTTTCATTCTCATTCTTCTACTCATTTTCAACCACACATTTTTCAAAAAAATAATATTTTCCATCATATCAACAACTTTTCCTTCTTTTTCAACCACACATTCTCCATCAATCTACTATTTCAAAAGACTTTCTTTCAAAATAATGTGGCTCAAACACACCCTTATTGTTTATTTATTATGATAGAGGTGGCTTTACGGTTTAAAAATGTGCACCAAACGGACTCTATATATAAAATAAATTTAAAACAAACAAAAATAAAATAAAAACTTATTTTTAAAAAAACAAAGTAAAATAAAAACTTTACTTAAAAAATCAAATCAAATAAAAACTTATTGTTAAAAAAACCCTTTTCAGAATAAAATAAAAAAATTATTTTAAAAAACGTTACTTAGAAAAGTAAAATAAAGTAAGAAGTTATTTTTAAAAATAAAATTAAAATAAAATAAAAAATTATTTTCAAAAAAGTTACTTAGAAAAATAAGAAGTTATTTAAAAAAAAATTAAAATAATCTAAAATAAAATAATTACTTATTTTTTAAAAAAATGTTAATCATAAAAATAAAATAAGTTGGGTGGTCATGATAAAACATTATATCCCTTTTGAAATTAGTAAAAATGGTGAAAAAAAGTTAGGTGATCGTGGTGAAATGTGATATGAAATTGATAACCATGGTAATAGTAAGTATAAAATTGAATGGTCATGGTGAAACAAAGAGAGGAAAAAAAGTTGGATGGTCATTGATGGATTTTACCTACAAACTTATTTTATTTTACATGAGAATAAAATGACGATGAAAAAAAGAAGAAGAAGAAAAAGAAAAAGTGAAAAAGGGAACACCGAAGAGAGAAAAATCAAAGATTTGAGAGAGAGATAATATGTTTAAACCCCCTAAAAAGTGTATCAAAGAAGTAGCAAAGTAACTCCATTGATTGGGAGGGAGAGAGAGAATATGTATAAACCCCCTAAAAAGTGTATCGAAGAAGTAGCAAAGTAACTCCATTGATTGGCCTCCCAATCATTCTCTCTCGGAATAATTTGGTTAATGAAATACGTACGAAAGTTGATCTAAGTATCGACTAAAAAAAAGATAAATGATCAAACGGTCGAACTAATGTTGAACCGACGAAATTATGTGATTCATTTAATTGTATCTTTTATTTAATGACATTTAGTGATATCTAACACTGATATTGTAATATCGGTGGTATTAAATAATATTACTTATTATGAAATATTGCACAAGTTTGAAGAAGAAAGTCAATAGTGAAAGAAAAAGAAATCTTAATCTGTAGATTGGGAGTATATGTCCGAAACAATTGATTTTCATTTTCCTAAACTTGAACTTGAAAAGTCGGAGAGCATGTTCGATTTACCGATTCCAATTAAACTGGATGGATTTACATTATAAGCGGTATTTAACCCTCGTTTTCACATATTTAGTAATTTATAAAATCAAGAAACAATCTTGACGAGATGACATTTGGACAAAGGAAACATCTTTAATCTTGAATAGGCAAAAGGATGTTAGAGTAGTGGTAAAACCAATCATGGTATTGGTGCAAGTTATTATTATATTTACTGTTTTATTAATTAGACTAATACTAATATTCTTTATTTATTTGGTCTTTTCATATTAAAAAATTAATACTTTATAAAGAGTAAGGTTCAAAGCAGACATGCATGGCCACGTCCATTAATTATTATCTTATTATAGTGCAGTTTAAGAATCTCTACCACTAGGCGTATTCTAGCAACTACACGTTAGCCAATTAATAAATTAACCATATATATTATTTATATCCCGACATTTAATTTTTGATAAATAACACGTTTCATCCTCAATCTTTGACCTAGTTGCATCTTTGTCATTAAAATTTCACTAATTAGCGCAATATGTAGACATGTCAAAGAGCCGAGCCGAAACTCAAAACTCAGGCTAGCCTCGAGCAAGACAGATTCAAGCCTTTTTTGGCCCGAGCCGAGACCTAGTTACATCTTTGTCATTAAAATTTCACTAATCAGCGCGATATGTAGCTATGTCAATGAGCCGAGATGAGCCACGAGTCAAGTTCGAGTTCGGCTCAAGCAAAACAAATTCGAGCTTTTTTGGGTCGAGCAGAGCCGAGCAAAAGTTCGGCCAAAAAAATGAGACTCGAGCCTAAGCGGGCCTAGCCAACTCGTGTTTTTATTTTTAAATTCGCTATAAATCTATAAATTTTTATAATATTTGTGCAATTTATACGTATTATAATAATAACTAAATATTAATATAAAAAAATAAATTAAAAAATAAAAAATAATAAAAAATAAAAAAGGTAAAAAGACCTACCTGCATAAAAAATGAAAAAAGTAAAAAGACAGTTGCCAGAGCCACGAGCCTGCTCGGTTCAGGCTTTTTCCGGGTAGAGCCTGGGCTGCCGAGCCTTTTTGACATCACGAGCAATATGTCGTCACTGTCTACTTATTAAATATTCTCTCTTGAGCAAGACCTAAATACGGTATCTTTATAAATTAATCAATTTTTAAATGATGAAGTAGATCCTAAAGAGATGCTACTTCCTCATACATTTATTTTTAATTGAGAACTTTTGAAACATGTTTTGGAGTTATATCTAAGCGGTATTATTATAAAAGATATAAATAAATGGTGAGTAAGCAAATAATATTTACGAATCCTACTAAGCTTGTGTTTAGTACACATTAATTGGCCAAAAGAATAAAAAAATTGACCATTTTTTTACTATTCTAGCCACCATTTTTGACTTTTACTCTCACGCATGGGTCCCGCCTGCAAGTCCAACAGTCAATTTTTCTTCTTATTTCTTGTAAAATGTATACCAAACATAGGCTAAATGCGTTGATAAATTATATTTTGATCGATTATAAACATTAGAAAAAATGTGCTTAACTTTGTCCAAGTTTTGCCAAGGGAGCTACCTCATTTTTCATCTTGAATGCATCAATGTATGCAAAATTTCTTACCTTTTGTGGAGAATTGTAATTGGGAATCTACATTATTTAGATATTGCAATTCTAGTGATGAAAGCAAGTCGCGTCTATAGGGATTGTTGTTTTTTTTTTTATTTTTTTTTATTTTTAGTGGTGAGTTAATTGAAAATATATGATACCATGTCATTGCTTAAAAATTGAAACGTTGAGATGACTTGAGTCAAAAGAATAGGAAGGGGTCGATTTACTATAAATTCTAAAGATTGGGGACTAGCACTGCAATTTCCCCCATTTTTAACTGGCGTATCATATAAAGCGTAGATGCCAGCCTATCGCACACTCTCTTTCCTCTTTCAGAAGTCTGAACTGAACAAACAAACAAACACAGTAGCCAGTAGGTTGGCTTCCTTTATACCATCTCTCTCTCTCCATAACTCTCTAGTCTCTCTATACTGATAGATTTTAAGCAGCTATATATAGCATAGGTCCTGTGACTAGCAACGTGGGGAGAAAACAAATACCCATCTTTATTCTTTATTAATGCTGCTGAATTGTTTGGGCCTCTTTCATCATTTTTCAAAAGCAAAAGAAATGCAAAACAGTGACTTTTTTTTTTTAAATCAATTTTTTACATTTAAATTTTATGTTATTGATATTGAAATTTTGTTTTTTTGCTTTTGCTCAACCTTCCCCACATATATGATTAGATAACGACGCAGTGTACCAATCTTCACAAGGCATATGCTCAATAAAGAGAGGGAGGGAAAATAAAGGCCCGTCTTTTATCCCACATTTCGATAATTGATTCCAGTTGGATTTGTAGTGAAGCCAACGAGGTTTCTTTAATCCAATTTCTCCTTATGATTACTTCTCATTGATAAATTTGGTTGCTTCTTTTGTCCTTTTTAGAAAAAAAAAATCTGGCTTCCAGAAGGGCTCTCTGTGAAAACCCAATTTAGCAAAGGGCATGTATTTACTGTCCCATTTTGTTGTTTCCATCACAGCTTGCCAAATCAATAACTGGGTTGTTGTTTGTTTGGCGTGATTGTTCTTCCTCTAGTTGTTCACCATATCAAGCAAGGTTTTTGATGGGATTTTTATACCATCAATGAGAGAATCACTTATTCACATGCTGTGCGAAAAATTTGAGCTATATTTTTCTGCAGAATTTACTGTTCTACTAGACACTGACAGATTTTGATTCCCTGTGCAATTCCTGTTGGAGGTTTCCTTCTTGAGGGCTTTTTTGGTTGAAATTGTGAGCCTTTGAGCTCAAGAGCAGGTAGTTTTTAACTTTGTGGGCTCTCTTATGGAGGGTTTTTCTTGAAATTCTGCATGATTTTTTATGACCTTTTCTAAGGTGTGTGGGTTTACTTTGAAGCTCTGGGACCTGTTTCTCAAGATACGTAAGTGGATTTTTAGTCCAGATGTCTTCAAATTGCAAGAACTGTAGCTCAAATGGAAAGTTGTGTTCCTCCATAAAGCAAAAAAAGGCTTGGGAATCATTTCACAGAAGAGCAGATGGTAGGAAATGGGAGAGATTTGTAGTCTTTTTATTGCTTATGGTTGCTGTGTGTGGGTTATTTTGGGTCTTGACTAGCTCGAATCGTGATAGTTCCGAGTGGAAAATGGAGACTCCAGTTTCAAATGAATTTAAAGATCAAGTCTTGCCGGAATATTGCAATGTGAGCAAGAAAGAGTTTCATGCTTTAGATTCTTTATTCTCCCAAAGAGATCGGGTATGTAGTCAATTGCTTCAAAAATCAGAGTTTTGATCTTAATTACCATGAATTCTATCTATTTTTTCTTTTAATTTAACCAGTTCTGAAGTATATGCTTTAGATGATTACTTATTTTTCGTAGGAAATTCTCTCTCTTCCAAGAAATACTTGGATCATTGGTGAGTAAGGGCGATTATGGAATTTTTTTAACATTAAGCAAGCTTGTTCTAATGCCGAAAATAGGACACTGAATCCAAATGTTCTGAACAACTTGTCTAAATGGAACTTTGATCATTGAAACTTCTGTAAGAAAAACTTTGTTAGCATTCTTCACATCTTGTAGCAATATGGGCCAACTATTAGAAATAAGTGTAATACGCTGCAGAAATTTGATATGTAAAACTGGAAATAGTGTTTTTACCTTTTCGGTCTACAAATAGGTGATGGGAAACTTCCAACTCTGTTTGAGCTCTATGCTATCTTTAAGTAGGGCAATATAAAACAAAAGTGCCACAATGAGTTTATTGATATATGATAGTGCTACGGTGAGTTCAATAGTAGTTTTCATAATGATATTCTATGTCTAGTCTTGATGATAGATTGTTGTTTGAACGCGGGGATATATTTTGTGATGTAGAGCAACAAAGAGAGAGAGAGAGAAGAGAAAGAGGAATTAGGCAAGAAATTTCAACTTATATTGAATATAAAAAAAATCAAATTTTGATTACTAAAAAATGCTAGTCCTATTTACATGTAAAATTCTTAAGAAGAATAAAAATTACCCTAGGAGGAATATTTCTAACTTAAGAGCTAAAATAGTACAAAACATAAGTTAACACCCTCACTCCTTTTTAGTCCGGGCAATGGGCCGGGCCGGGCCGGCTCGGCCCGGCCCATGATCGCATGAGCTCGCACGAGCCGAGCTCGTGTGCCATGAGCTGAGCACCCGCTCGGCTCGTGGCAAAATGGGCGAGCTCCGCTCGTAGCCTGAGCTTGCCTTAAGACGAGCCAAGCGGCGAGCCGAGCCGCTCGGCTCGTATTTGACGTCGTTTTTTTTTTT